ACKWYWTTGTTCTCTTCAAAGTCAAGTTTTATAATTGTACATGATCCTTTCTGACCTTAAAAAATAATTAAGTCGTGTGTTGCTAAAAACAAACTCCAATTTATCAGTGCAGCTTGATACTCTATTGAAAAATAACTGTGTTGATGATTGGCATCACGAAATATGAAATTATATTTCAATTAGTCTTACTAAAATTGTTAACTGAGCAGCTCTAATTGCAAGCTGTCAAACAATGTAGTCTTTTATGCATATTTAAAGTCTACATAGTCTGCCTTTTAATTGTAAGAGGAAAATGACTGAGGTTTTTTAAAAGCTATGCGTTCATAATTATTCCTATGTTTAAAGTGAAGGATACTTAACATCATCTAGTAGCATAGTTTGATAAAAACACTAACCTGAATCATTTCTCTCAAAAACTGTTCRTTTATACAACCATTATTTCTTTCTCTGTATGGTAAAATGAAAAAAAAAAAAGTTTCCTACTTTGTAAAACAGAGTCATCTGCTTTGTGTATTCATGATGAATCTTGAGCTTCACTATTAACTTCCTCTGTTTGATTGTGGCCCAATTTTATATTCAGTTCTTGAGCAGAAATAGCTCAAGGGAAAACTGCCAGATTATAATAATTTAGAAATACCTTTACTTTGTATTTTTTTTTTTTCTCAGAAGCTATTTTCTATTCCCTTTAAAAAGCAGGCATAGTATTTTGTTTCATATTTTTTTCAGAACAGCAAATACTAGCTACCTTTGGCTAATGAAAATTTGAAATGWTGAATATAAAAGCAATAAATGTAGGCAATGTGTGCCTCATTAATGAGGTGCTTTGTGTGGAATACGAAGGGGCTTTTTGTCAGCCAGCACCACCAAGTGGCCAAGTTTCATATTGTCACTGCTAYTACTACTATGTCACTACAATTTCGTTTTTAAAATTCAATGCTAAGAAAAGCTGAAAAGGAATAAGAGCAAATTTAATTTCTGTGTTTATATCCCCAACTATTCTCCAACTATTCATTCAGTACAAATGGAGAAGGATARTCCCATCCTGGAAAAGGAAAAATATACATACATTCAGGCTACCTTGAAGCCTGTGATTAGGAAGTGTGGGTTAAAGATTATTCAGCTTGCACTTGTGATATGGCCTGAATTTTTGAGTACTGTATACCATTTTATTCTGCCAGCTCCTCTTGAGAACATTCAAATAGCTGACACAATTTTTGGACAGTGAAAGTTGAACTTTTGCTGTGTAAAATTAAAATGTTAATAAATTATTAGTTTCTTTATATATTATGATATACTAATCATAATATAATTTTAATTAATAATAATAAATTATATATATATGCTTTTATATACTTGAATTTATAGAAAGATAGTCTTTATCTCAAATAATATTAATCTAATACACAGATGTCTTTTCTGAGGATCTGTTCTGCTGTTTATTTTGTGTCTGGAAGAATAATGTTTAAAAATACAAAGAGGACATGTGATGAATCCATTAAAGAAGGCAAAGCAGTTTGGTTTGTTAGCTGTCATTTGCAGTGTGATAATTGGAATCCGGAGTTTTTCTCCTGTTTCATGTCATGTTTCATTCATATAACTCTTTATTTCAGATGTTTTGTGTATTTTGACAGTGTGTCACTTAAGACAGTTGCGTAGCTATTTATCACTTTGATCTTCAAAGAAAGGATTTGTGACAGCATTTGTYTTATAAATGACTAGTATTGTAAGTGCCACACACATGTCTCTYAAAAAATGTTTTGGTGTTTTGTTTTGCTAGATGAAAAGGGARTTTTGGACCAGAAGCCTTCTAAGCCAGTTGCTCCTCAAGTACCGCCCAAGAAGCCTRTTCCTCCAAGCAAGACTAATAACTTACTGAGAGCAGGGCTTCTGCACCCAAAACGACCAGAGAAACCTGCGTTGCCATCATCTGCACCTAAGTCAGTATATWTTTAATCATGTCTAGTAAATATATTTTTCTTGGTTTGCTATTCTATCATCTTTCTTGAATGAGATGATAAAATGGGCCAAGGTTTAGAACTATTTCCTCTCTGAAGATTTTTTTGAACCAGTATCTTTCCATTCACCTACCTGTAAGCTCTAAAGCGAGTTTATTTTTTTTTTTCCTACTGATGTTTATATTTATGTATTGGAATGTTCTTGACAGGTGGTTGTTGAAAGCTAAATTTTTCATCTTGCACCTGACTGTAGCTGCTGTGCTCTAGCATTGAGTCAGTGCAGTGTTTCAGCACTCAGGCTCCACAAACTAGGTGAAAAGGGAGAGTGGACAGAGTACCTGTGCTTAGAAATACTCAGAATAGGTAGTTTTTTCTTTTTTGGGGGGGAATTAAAAAACAATTAGAGAATGACTATGGTTCTCTTACCTATCTTGAATATCTGTAGACCAATATCTGACTAAATAGGGACAGTCATAACAAATTTTAGTTCTTTTTTACTTCCTTTCTTTCCTTTTTTTTAAAAAAAACCTTCCTATTCCTCATGAGTTTGAAAAAAAATATTTACAGTGTTTCACCAAGAGAAAATTAATTTTTTATCAATAGAAATTCTTCTTTCACAGACCTTTTGCCTCCATCCTAGGTTCAAGTATTTGTCATCGCCTTAGTTGTGAATGTAGATATACTGCCCACAAGTAACTGTGTCCCTATGGGGAGGTTGGTTGCTTTGAAAAAATCATCAGAAAGTGAGATCACGATGAAATTGGCCTTGTACAATAAAAGAGAAGAAAGTTGAAAAGAAAGCTGCCTCAAAGAGCCTGCATCTTAAATACTTAGGAAGATAGGGAATAGCTGCAAATGTCCTTTGAGGTTCTTTTTTTGCTTTTTTTTTTTTTTTCTCTACCTCTTCAAAAGGAAGAGCAAACTAAAGGGAGAAAACAGTGCACAGGAGGACAGTGGAGAGCAGATAATACAAAGAATCAGGGCTGAATTCAGCAGCCAGCCAGAAAAGGATGATGCTGGCAGAGCTAAAGAGCACCCAGCCCAACCCTTCAGTTATTCATTGCTTGACTGAAGAGCATCTGAGGATAACTTGTCATTTTACCTCCGTTTCAATTTGCCAATATGTAATCTCATTWTATCACTTGATGCTTTGTGGTCTCCAAAGTAGAGAATTTTCAGTCTTTAAGCTCCAGTCTTAAGCTTAAGAGCATCCCCCTTTCCACCCCTTGCAAATTTGGGATGATAATTACAAATAAAGGGCAGTAGGTGCATAGCACATTGCGATCCTTAAACTTTCAATTATTAATAGATATTGAAATGTGTTTAAATATTTGGACATCTAAAGTTTGTGTTTTTTTGTTGTTTTTCTTTTGAAATTAAATTTACAAGTTAATAACTTGGAAGACAATGAGTTAATGAAAGGAATATGTTGCAGCTGTCAGCTGTTCCATTTAYGTGCTTTGTTTTTATGCTGTGGCATAGATGATGGCAAGAGCTGTAAAGGAAAAGGTCATCTGTTCATTTTTTGGTCCTTGGCTAATGTGAGCCAACATGAAAAAYAGAGAAGAGCAGGACTAAAAACAGGCTGAGAGCTGTATGTAGAATAACAGCTTATGCATATTATATACTTGCAGAAGAAAATAACTTGTTCTGGGTAGCTTTTTTCTTTACAAGAAATCGATTTGGATGTCAAGGAGTACAAGTATTTGAATATTTCAAGAGGTATTATTGAAGGTGCTATTCATATTCGGTTGTTTTCTGTTTCATTGAAGTGTAATTTGACGCTTATAAGTACCAAACTACGTGTGGTTGTCAAAGCATTAAGAGCTTTGGAGGAAATTTCATGGGAGTTTTATGTATTTAAGCACTCTGAGTCGTGACAGAGGAACTSTTTTTTTATAGGACTAAATTCCTCTTTTAAAACAATTTCAAGCKTCTGAAAATACAACTGCAGTATGCTAAAAAATTAAAAGCAAGAGGGAGAATTGCAGCTGAAACTCTTATCTCCTGACTAGGTACGTTTTRTGTTGCTTTTGTTACTGTAGATCTAATGGAGAGGTTGTTTCTCTTCGACCGAAATCTGAAATTGAGCCAGTTGCAAAACCAAAGTCGGACTCTGAACAATTACCACTTAGACCAAAATCAGTAGAGGTAGATTCACTTGTGGTGAAGAGCTCTAAAGAATCAGGTAAGAAAAGAATTAAAAGTTTCTGCTGGGTCTTTCTATTTGAATTGCAGTATTTTACAGGGTTTTACAGGGTTAAAAAAAGTTCTTTAATCAATTTGCTCAAAATATTAGGATGTAATTATGTTAGTTCAGGATAAAACCTGTATCTTAGAACTGCTGTAGGTAGTTCCTGCTAGGAGTCAGAAAACAAGGTGCAGATGTCTGGGCTCTTTAGAAATATTTGATGAAATGTGGTATAAACAGATGGGAGAAGAAGAGCATTTAATGGTTTGTTCTTCTAATTTGAAGGCATGACTTTTATTTTCATCTTGTGTTTTTATGATACGTTTTATTGCTGACTGGGACTGTTTGTTCTTCTGCCTTTACGTTTCAGATACTCTTGGCATTTCTGGCTAACTCTTATATTTTTAGCAATGTCAATAACTAGAGCATTCTACAGTTAAGCTTGTAGCTGTGACTGTATCATACTTGGAAACTTGGCCAATGTGTTGTATGGGATGTTTAAATTTTGCACTTTACAGGGAGGAAGCAACTGGCTTTACTTTTTTACTCAAAGATTGTTCAAGAATTAGCATTTTGTTTATTAACATTTAATCATTATTTAATTATTTTTAATAATTTAATTGATTGCTTTATTATTATCACTTTATTATTTATTTGAGAAATAGCATTTTGAAATTGTAACAACTTTTTTTCCCCCAGTTACAAAGAGAGGGTTTCCATGTTGTAGAACGTATGTTACTAAAGTCTAATCAAGTTAGTATGTGAAACAAAAATGATACATTAAAAATCTGAAGCAATTTATGAATGGGAAGCATACTTCTGATTTTCATATTAAATTTGCATTTTAAGCTGAAATGTGGGAAAAGGTTAGCTCAGATTTATTAAAATAATAAAAAAAAGTAATAATAAATAAATAATAAATAAAGCTCAGTATTTATTAAAACTTGTGCAGGTGCTTTTGTATGCCTTTTTCTTCTCAAGATTTTGAATTGGCAGTTCAGTTGTCTCTATTGCTTAAATAGTCACTTGAGTGATTGTTCAGAAGAAACACTTTCAGGCCGGAGTAAGCAGAGAGATCAAAGATTGATGCACAAGGTAGCCTTAAAATGCAAACTTTGTGCTATTACTCAGATGTGCTCTAGGATTATGCTAGATGTATTGCCTAGTATCATTTATCATCTGAAAAAAAATCTCCTCATGAAAATGTCTTTTTCTTCAGGTGCAGTTATTTTTACATCTTTAATAAGAGAGTGGCAATGTACTAGCTATTAAATATTCATGTATAAAAGCCATTTCTCCTTCCCTCCCTCTTCCCCCCTGCTCCAAGTTAACATTTATTCATTCCTGTTCACTGACAGATGATTCTACAGGTTGAAAGAGGAATTCAAGCTTTTAATACTCAGGTTGGGGGGGAATAAAAAAAGAAACCAAACATTCAGTAACCGACGGTACTGTCGGTGATTTACAACCTTGTCTATGTAATTACATTTTTAATAATTGAYCAAGTTTAGATCAGAACTATTTAATTGCCTCTCTGGAATAAAATAGTGTGAATAAGGTTTTACACTGAGCCTGTCAACCTAATGTGCAGAACTTACTGAGAGTGAGGATAGAAACAGCCAGAGCTCAGAGATGCCTCTCTGAGTTTGAAGCTCCCTGCAGACCAATATTCTAGCTAGGAAGTACTTGCAGATCAGCAGATTAAAAAATGCTTATTTAATGCAACTCTAATTCTCTATAGCATAAGAGACCTATAAGAATAATCTTWAAGCTTGAATGTGTGTGTTAGAGGTTCAGCCACTTGAATTTTCTTTAAGGAGCAGCTGTAAATATTCTGTACCTGTTGAAAATGAAACAAAGCTATCCCAGTCATCAGCTAAGGACAGATAACTCAAAAGCATTCGGAATCACTGAACATGTTGAAATTCCTCCTGTTGAAGCCTTACTTGGAAAAACTGGAATGTTTGTTTGCTTAGAATTGAAGTGCTATAACAGACCTGAAGCTGTAATACTAGTGTGCTGAACATGTAAAGCAATTCTGTTTCTTCTACAAATGTTTCTTTTTCCTGCTTTGTGAAATAATTTTTTTGTTCAGTATCTTTTTCTAGACATTCCTCTCCTTGACTTTTCTTTCCAGATTTTGTTTCCTATCCTGTTTGCCATGTTTCCCTTCTTACGTGTCAGGAAATTACCCTACCCTTCTCCATTTTGGTAAGATAACAATCTATAAGGAAATCCAAATGCTTTATGCYATGCACATAGCCTCTTCTTAACATCATAAATGTAATTTTCAGTTGCAGTTATAAATACTAAAATTTTTGAGTTTCAATTTAAAATGCTTCTTTTTGTATATTTGTTTGCATGCATGTTTTTCATAGCTGTTAAACAAGAATTTAAGTAACTCTTCAATGAGGAGCTTGTAGAAGCAAAAAAAAAAAAAAAAAAAAGAAACTAAAAGCTTTATTACAAACTGCATATTGATAAGCTAAGTGTAGATTTTATGTTCAGTATTAATAGTGTATTTGAGTGGCTTTATCTTTCTGTACACGACAATTACGTAACTCCAAAGTCTTTTGCGCTGAGTTCTCTTCCTTATGGCCATCAAACATTCAGAGTCGTGAAAAACACTATTTGTAAGAGTTATATTAGAGTCTCACTTAATTCTTATTTTTGCCAGGCTTAAATTTAAGYGTTCCTAAGCTTAGGTCTAACCTCTGTGGGTTGTAATCTCAGCAAGGTGAGAAAGGATTTCATAGGAGAAGGGACTCCTGAATTTTTAACCCTCAGCAGCATATGATGCATTGGAGTTGTCATTTTTTCAATGAGACCTCTATTCCTCTTATTTTTATTCAGATTGTTTTTAGACAAACTGATGTGAATATACTGAAATATTCACAAGTTTACTAACAAACCTCTTACCTAAATATATATCTCTTAAATCTCCTGACAGTGGTAATGTGTAAATCTAGYTAAGGTTATAAAGCAGATGTTTCTAGCAGTCCTTCCATAGTAACCGCTTAGGGTTAGCAAAAGATTCAGCCTTATTTAGTTAGTTAATTATTTTAGTTATTTTTGGACTCTGGTTATCTGCAGATGGATAAAATTGCTCTTTTTTTTTTTTTTTCACTGTGAAGAGGTTTCCATCTGTTAGGGTTTCTTGCAGACCATTTGTAAGAGTTAATTGGTGCATCATTTTATTGATTGAATGGATACAAATTGTGAAATTGCAATAGTTTTCATCAGGAACCTGCTGTCCCTGATTCACTGTCCCTGTTTTCATTGAGGCTAAGTTTTCTGCAGGTAAGAAGGCTGTAAAAATTAAAAAATAAGGCAAACAAAATAGACCCTGTGATATATTACTGCCTTCTATACCAAGGCAACAAGGGGCAAAGATAAAAAGAGAAGTCCAAATTGAGTCAGAATTCCCTGTCTGCAAAAAGCTGGCAATGTTTTGTGCTTAGCAATTAACTTAAGTGGGGCAATTTGTCCACATGATTTCCACATTTCCAGTATGATAAATGCTTCCAAGAGGGGAAGAAAAGAGCATCTTTAGTATCATCTGCTTTTAATCATTGGTAGTTACTGTCTTGAATGACATCCACGTCCTCCAGCCTTGTGGAATGTTGATTTAAAAAAAAAAAATAAATAAACACCCTGTATACAGACATTATTAGAATGTCCATCATTGATGTAGTTACTGCTTCTAGAGACAGGGCTGGCGTTGCAATAACAATAGTTACTGAATTTCTGATTCTTATTTAAATTTACTGCTAAATAGGTTGTCATTCCTGCAGAATGACACAATGAGGATTGTTTAATAACCTTTTGGGATGGATTTTGTTACCTTTTGTCCTGAATTAATGCCAGAATGGAGAGCTTAGAATGAAGAACACAAGAAAATATGAAAATTGATTCACTTGATCATTGTTGTGTAACTCCCAAGAGGTTAAATACTTTATTGGCACAGACTACGACAGAAATATTTCCATAGTCATCTTTTCTCCCTCATCCTATCTTCCATCAGCCCCCTCCYATACATCATTCTTCTGTTTCTTCCTGCTTTTGTTTTTCTTCCCTGCTTTTTTTTTAAATTGCAGATAAGATTACATGTTTATGAAGGGCTGTCTTTATATAATGTAGTGAAATTGAAAAGCAGCAAAACTGATAAGTAACAGTGATGTTAATACTTGTAGTTCAACATAACAATCAATAATGAAGGAAACAGGTCCAGGAATGCTTAAAAATTGTCAGTATTTTAAGGACTAAAAGGATAGTAATGCCAAGAAGTAAAGACACTAACATTGGTCAAAACATCTAGTGGAAACTTAGTTCTTGCAGGCATAAAATGACTTTGACAATGCATGAATAAAACCTGGGTTTAGCAGAGGAGTTTCAAGTGATCCAAATATTGTATTTGTGCAAATAGTATGACCAGTGTTTTCATAGTTGTGTTTTCTTATCTAACCTCTTGCTGTTGGTTTGAGAATAATAAGGAAATAGAGAAAGAAGTGTTAAACTTTCAGCTTCATAAATCTTAATGCTTACGTGACACTCAGAGGTTATAACCCACCCCCTCCAAAAAAAAAAAAAAAATTTGAATGTTACTTCTGATGTCTATATAAATGTCGTAATTATGCTTTAATTAAATGAGCGTAATCTCAGGAATGTCAGACAAATTTCAATGTTGCAAATCCATTCTAATATTCTGTAGTCCTATGTAAATACTAAAATTAAAAAAAAAAAAAAAAAAACACCACAGCTCTTGTATTTTTTTTCAGCTAGGTAAGTATTTACTTACAGTTATTAAGGAGGTAAACCACTCGTGTTATGTTTTTGGTTAGATACGAAAGTTCTGTTTTACCTATTGATAGTTGTTTCTTTTTTTTTCCCATACGTTTGCTTCTTCCTATAGGATGTAATGAATTCCTATTGGAGAAATCTCCTCCTGTAAGGGAGAAATGGGTTGGGGATAAAGCAAGACATTATTTATTTATTTATTTATTTTATTTTACTTTTTTCATTCAGGAGAGACTTTTTTTTCTTAGAGTTAAGATCATAAGGAAACAATTTTTAAAAAAATCAGTAGGTCTTAATAAAGTATGAGAATGAAGTTCTGAAATAATTATAGACTGAATGGAGAGCTGCATTTTCTATAGACAAAGTACTGCACCTGAAAAGACAACACTGCACAGAACCATTTGCACTTGTTAAGTTACCTTGCATGAATCTGTGGATGTACAATTTGTTCTGTTGCTTATATTCTTGAATTTGTAAGTGATTGAAAACAGCATGTCTCAAAATTGGTTTTGATTGTCCTGGAGAGCAGTCATACCTATTTTCTTTTTCTCCAAATACTTGTTAAGTGTCTTTTATACTGCCATCTTACTGCAGTACTTCACTGTTGAGAGCGTGAATTTAAATGCTCACTGAATGCACACTTGGTCCTTCCAGAGGGAAAATGTTTTTGCACATATGCTGAAATCATCTAGTTATTCATGTTACATGTTCTAAAATTCTTTGAAACAATAAGAATTCAGATAAATTCTTTATTTTCCCATAAGAAAATAAAAAGAAATAACACATCAAAAACTTATGATCTGGATGGTGATCCATGTTTGATCTTTTTCTAGATCTGTTAAGCTTTGATGACTTGATAACTACCTCAGATAATCTCTCACACCCCACTGCAAGCAGACCCAAGATGCCTGGCAGGAGGCTGCCTACACGTTTCAATGGCAGTAATTCTGTGAGTATTTTTCCAGAGGTAAACTAAGAATGAACTTCCTTAGAAAGAAGGTTGCACTGAGAGGTCTTTTGAACTATTTTCCTGGGAGTGTAGTGTTGAAATTCTAAAGGGGCTAGTTTTCTATAGATCTTGTCTATGGGAGTTTTTGAAATGACAAACCAAAGGAATATATGTAAAATAATGAGGGCAGTTGTACATCGGCTGAAGAAATCTGCTTTCTGTTCTGYGAGGTTTTACTGTGGTGAATCCTCAGCTCTCCCAGAAGCACCGATGATGAAATATTAAAATATATATATATATAYACATATACTGATGTATATCCTATTCTCATATATAGTCTTTACCCCTAATAAAGTTGTCRCTTCATGTTGCCGCTGTCAAATTCACTTATGTTTCTAATACATGAGATCATCAGCTAATGAGAATGAAGTAGTATAAAATCCTTGAAATCTAATTAGTGTCTTATTATTTCTCATTAACTTGAAAGAACCTGCAGCTTCCAACAGCATCAAGGAGTCATTTGGTTAAATAATGCCGAAATGCTTACTAATGCTCTCCAGAATTCCTTTGTGTGATTTAAATTGTTGAATGAATATTGTAGACTAATTTAGATTTTAAGTGGAAGGGAAGGAAGTCTCATTAATCTGAGATTTTAAGTTTTGGGTTTTTTTTTAAGCACACCTTAGGAGCAACTTTTTTTGTTTTGTTTTGTTTTCCCTCTTGTGAAAATACTTTCATTATGTGTRAATGTCTTATGTAGCAGCCAAGTCAAAATGCAAGTCCAGAAAAAAATTTGAAGGTGCAGAAAGAAGAAGAAGAAAGTGCCAAACCAAAGCCATTTGAAACGAAAAAGGTATGAAACCAGAGGAGACATACCAGGCATCTAATTATTTTCTTCCTTTTGTTTGCTTTTATAGTATGGATTGACTGCAGCAATCTAAGCGCAAATGATCATATTCAAATACAAGTGCCCCGTATCAGTTAGTATAAATAAGAATTCTGGTGTTGTGGCATGAAACTGTTGCTGTTTCCACATAAGCTTTGTATCTACATGTCCTTTAGTCTTTCTATGTTATAGAACATGTGAGGAGATCAAAAGAGTGTGAAAAAGATTGCCTGAGGTAAATTAAGCCCCCTCCCCTAAATCACAGCTTTTAAGAATGTGTGGAAATGCATTGCAAGCAGTTTTTTTCCTGTACAGAATATAACTATTTTGTATACAGTAGTCCTCATTTGAACTACATACTCCTTTTTGTTACCTTTTGTGTATTTTAACTTAAAAAGAAGTTTAAAGAAACTTTTGTACTTGTAATTAAAAGCTGATAGCTAAAATAAGTGTGTAAGGTGATTGTGTATCAGTGCAACTTGTCCACTGTGGTCGATCTGTGAAGATTTAATTTTTTTTCTTTTTACTGTTTTTTTTGTTTGTTTGTTTTCCAGCCATCTACATTGACTTCACCACTTCCATCTTCATCTCAAAGACCAAATTCTGTTATACTGAACTTTTCTCCTGCAGAAATTAAATTTAAAGGAGAAACAGATGATGAAAAAGCTTCTCTGGAAGAGCTCAGGACTCAGATGAATGAATTGATGAGTTTAGTGGACATACTGAGAAGAGAACATGGGTAAATGTTTTCCTTCTCAATCTGCAAACAAATACTTATTAACAGTTTCTAAATGTTTAATTCCAAATTTCTTTTTAAAAGTAAAGCTATYCAGTATTAATATATTAATTCAGTGCTTCTTTCTGTAGATGGAGGTGTCCTAAATATGAGCTGATTTGATGCCAAAGTACTGTTTAAATTTGTACACGTTTTTTTCCTTCCTACCTTGTGCTCTTTCAAGTGTTTCAGCTTGCAAGAAATTTTGGGTAACCACTTAATGCTGTAAGGAAAAATAAATCACTTCTTACCTAGACCCACTTATGGAATAAAGCATATTCTAGGAAAATGCTGGAATACTGTTTTGTGAAGCCCTTACGGTGATGCTTGCTTTTGGCCTATCCAAAAGAGTTAAATTGTAATATAGCTTGTAATTACACCAATATGTCTTATAATTCAAAATACAGATCTGTAAAATAAAGGTGATTTTACAGATTTTTTTTAAAGCATTTTTTATAGAATAGTTAAATTATCCAAATACTGGCTCCAGGTTTGAACATGCAGAAAATTCCAAGTCATTTCAGTTTAATCTCCTTTCTTAAACTAATACCTGTAAAATAATACCTGTAAAAATGCTTCTTAATAAGCTTGCTTAGTATTTTCAATCAAAAGTTAGAGATTGCTCCATAGTGATCAGTAAGAGGTGTTCAGAGTTGGTGGAAATTTGAGTCAAAAGCACTGGAGAAAGAATTATTGGAGAAATTCATATAGTTATATATGAAGGATTATTTCTAAGCTTCAAACCTTTGCTTTATGAAAATTTGAACAGAATCTGTTCTTTTAGAGGTCAGTAACGAAATCATTTTTTTTCTTATATCTGTTTTTTTGTTTTATCAATTATTAGGAAAGAACTGGAAAAACTAAAGAAGGATTTGGAAGAAGAGAGAGTGATGCGAAGTAATCTGGAGGTAATACTAGTGTGTGTTTATATATAAAAATATATAAAAATGTGTGTGTATAATATATGTATAAATATATATTTGTGTATATAAATTCTATATACATCTGCAAGTATGTATCTTCTATATCCATCTGAAGAGATCAAAATAAGCATGGCACAATATTTTCTATGAAGTCTACTATAAGAAGCCTGCCAGAGATCATATATCATTGTGCAAAGCACATTAAGTAATTAAACAGTAATATAGAGCAATATAGTAACATCAGCTGTAAATGTTGAGGTTTTTGAAGCTTATAACTTTGGCAAAAGCTTTGAAAACTTTAGGTTATTGCTACCTAAATACTGATGTTTTTTCTTAATATCCCCTTTTCAGGTTGAAATAGAAAAATTGAAGAAAGCAGTGATGTCTACATGAGAAAGTGTTGGACTCAATGTTATTAACTCTCCAGGAATTCAAAGCTGAACACAAGTAGAACTGATTTTCTTATTTCATAATAATGGATGCTGGTGTTCTACAGTCTTAAAATATATAGTAAAAAGGAATATAGTCTTTTATTCAGAGAGATAAAACAGAATAATGGTGTAATTTTTTTGCCAATATAAAAGAGGCCTTATTTCTTACTGTGCTGGAATTTGCAGACCTTTATTTTTTTGGTTTGCTTGAAAATACTACTGAGTCTGTATAAAAAGCAGAGGGAATTCTTAATAGATTTTTATTGAATACCTGTAGCTTAATTTTTAAAGAAATCTATACTATAAATAGCGTGATCTATCTTTACGAGTAATCTGTAACATAGTCTACTGGGAGGGATGGAGTAGCCATGTAGTAATTCAGTCACTACTTTTCCCCTACACGTAAAAGGGAATTTATGATATTTGTATATTTTTTAATTTTGGCAGTCTTACCCAGGGTTATGCTGTTGTGCCTGTCTGCAGTGAGAATATTAATAATATGCTGTTTAAAAGTTGAGTAATGAGATAGGAATTCATTAATGCAATGAAGCAGATGAAACACCTATGCATTGTAATAAGAACAAATGATCTAGTCAAAATACTTTAACAGAACATTTTGTCACTTGCACTATTGGATTAAAAAGGGATTTGGGACTGAATCATGAAGTTGCAATAGAATTAACTTTTAAAATCACAAAATGCAAGAAATATGGAAACAAGAGTAGAATCTTTTCTTAACCTGTTGTGCCTAAAATATTGCAGCACACAAAATGAAAAGTAAACTTTAACTCTCAAGTTTCTGTGCTTTTGTGTATCTGAAACAAATTAAGCAGTCATTTTACTGGTTAGATTTACCTCTTGATCTGTTTTACACAAGTCGGTTTTTGTTAATAATATGGCTCCAAATAAATATTTTGCGACTCTTGATGCTCTGAAGGTCTCAATATGTATATATTTATGCCATAAACTTGCTGATTATATTGTGTACCTCTAAATTTAATTACATTGTTTTATTTTAATGATTGGTTAGAGCAGTTTTAGATATTTTGTTGGTATCCAAGATTGTCTTTCATATATTCTCTATGGAAAACGGTTGAAGACTTGTGGATTGCTGTTATCATTAACCCCTGAGATCAACACAGTGCACAAAACAATACCCAAATAACACACAAAGTGATAGGAGAAGAAATTACTTTCATTGCTATGTTTAGCTGATAAAGAATTACAGGACATACAACTTCAGAAAACCAGTCAAAAATGCATTGTTTCAGTTGGCAAAACCTTGTCTCCTTTTGGTCTAGCAAAACTTCAGTGGCAAGAATTGACAAAGTGAGAGGAAAGAATGGTTTCAATTCATGGAAAGAGCCATAAATATAGTAATTATTATTTCACTTAAGCAAATGTTATGAAAGTATTTTTTGCTCAAAGTATACTTTTTCTACAGGTGATGCCATATTAAAAAAAGTGGACTTCTGAAAGTAAATTGGAAGATACCTGTCAGTGGCTGATCTACATTTTTAATAAAAATTAAATAATATATTGTGCAGGCATTAAGTTAYATTTGCTAGTCACATCATAAGCTGATTATGAATGCTTTAACTTCTAATTACCTAGATGCATCACAGTTGGAAACTTGAGTCAAATATTAAGGAATAATTTGTGGCAGGTAGTAGTACTGTCAGACTTAACAGACAGAGAGGTAGGAATTCTAAATAAAAGTTAAGTTGGATGATGAAAAGTCAGGACTGAGCCTAATGGAATAGTTTGTATAACAATTTTCTATCCACTGTGATCAGGACATAATGCAAATCTTGTACATGATTATAGCAATTGTGTGTCTGCATTTGCACTTGTAGCAGATGAGCAGAACGAGACAATCAGTTGAAACCACAAATGGGAGGTGTTAATTATGTAGTGTCTTTTGTTCGCTATAGCAATAAATGACCCAAGTGCAATGACTTGATTTAATAAAATCCTCTTTTAAAAGTGGCTGCTATGAATATTTTTAGCCATAAGGAAGTTGCCCTGATGCATGTCYGTCTGGTCATCAGCTAGTGTTATGGACTGGAGCAGAGGGGAAGAGCGTGATGGTTTTGAGGACATTCCACAGTACAAGTTCCCAAAAGCACTATGCTTCTCTGACATTACTGGTGCTGTAAAATGATGCATGCTATCCCAACCCAGCAAATAAAAGAAGTTTCAAACCTGTTGAAATGTCTGTTTTGTGTTGTTAAATTCTTTGCAGCAAAAGTTTGAACAAGAGCGGTGTGTATATGTCAAAAACCCGTCTGTGAGGCTTTCAAATTTGAATTTACTCATTGCAATAYGTGGTTTCTAGCTGTCAGGATAACTAATTATCCTGACTGCTACTAAGCTTAATGTTTTCTTTAAGTCTAGCAAGTGTARCAGAGTCCTCTCATTGACTTCTTTTTCTGTCTTTTTTTCATTTCTGTTGGTCTGAACTGACTTTTTTGTGCATCTTCAGAATTTCTTTGGATGCTTGTTGCCATTCAGTAACATGGATGGATATTAGTTTACGTACACACTATTTACACCTCTGATTTACACCTCTTCTGACACTACAAATTAAGCAGTTCTTTTGAGCCTAAATGTTTTGGATTTAATGAACCTACCTTCTAGAGATGAAACTTGTCCTCAGGAAATTTTCTAAACACCTCAAATGACAAGAGGCTTGAATCAGTATATAGTAAAGGACAATCTTTGTTCAAGGAACTTGGAGTCTAGGGACTGTAATATGACTTATTTAAAAGGTATGGAGCAGATGAGGGRAAAGGCAAGCAAGGACAGGAAAATGGACAGTCATTTTCAAGCTACAAGCCTTTTTCTATTAGTTTTCATAATATTCTTTAAAATGTTGAAACAAGTACAGTTTTGGAAGAATGTACAGGTTTCTACTTTAAACAAACAACAACATAATATTTTTCGTTAATGTTCATTGTTGGTGCTTTAGGGGCATGAAATTTCTGATGATGTGTTGCAGAGTTTGACTGAATTTTTTTTATTGTATCTGTTTTAAACACCTAGTATTCATTAAAGTCAAATTTTAACAAAGTCTTTTAGCCCTTTCAAAGGGAAATAGTAGTGTATGGTTTTCACAGATCCCTTCCTTTTGTCTGTTACCAAAGTTCTCTTAAGACATTGCTGGCTGATGACTGTTGTCTTTGTCAGAGCCCTGTCGAAGCAGCTACTTGTACATCTTGGGAAATGGGATTTCACAAGTGCTGGAAAGGCAAAACCACTCCCTTTTGGGTGCTTAGGCACATTACTCCCTTCTTTGAAAATGCAAACAGCCCCGAGAGACTTGGGAACCATGAGGCTGCTGCATTGTTGGGGACACACACCTTGTTTGTGGGAAATCATGGTCGGAGTAGCCTGCCACCTCCCAGGGAATCCAGGATTATTCCTCTTCCTTTCTAGTAGAAGCATGTGCATGTACCTTTGGGTGGAATTTAAGAGTATTCACTCTTGGCATCATAGCAAAGGTTCTGGGCATGTGTAGAGCCGCACACCTCCATGTGTCTGTAAAAAGAGTCATTTAAAACAGGTGTCCCTTCATTAAAGGGGTCTGGTCTTTGGCCTCCTGACTTTAAGGAGTGCTAAAGTGCCACCTTTTTATTCATCTCTGCCCAGTATTGTGACAAGTGCAAGTCAATTTRCCCTCCCCAGCCCTGTTCTGTTGTCTGCATCTAATACTACTTGGCCTAATTCCTACTTGATACTAATGTCAAATGCAAGACTGGTCATATCAAAAATGAACGGTGATAAAACCTGCTTTTAGGCCAAAACTGAAGATATTTTTTGTGGCTGAGTATTTGCTTAGGGTAGCACCAAAAAATGAGTGCAAGAAGCATCATAAGCTCAYGACAAACAAACTGCAGGACTGTGGAAAAAAATTCCAGATTATGTGAGTTCTTATAAGAACCAGAGTTCTTCTAGCATGGTCTTGGGAGGGGAGGCAGCTTTAGGAATTGCTGTTTTGATATGATAAAATGCTTACGTTAAATTATCAATTATTGGAAATTCTTAGAAAATTAAGAATAGTTATGAGCCAATATCAAGAGAGATGATATTAAATGTGGCACGTGGTTCAGTCTGCAAGCTCTAGTCCCCTTTTTGTGCAGGWAGTCCATAAGGAAAAAAATGTAATTTGCTTGCTGAGCTGCCTAGATACATAGAGAACAAAGCATCATCAATAGTATTATTTTTGATTTATGAAGGTAAATGCATTAAACTGAACAAACACTGATCATGACTTTTTTTTTTTTCCCTCCAAAGCCTAGCTATGCTCCTCTGTATTTAAGAGAAACCTTTCCTCCTAGTGGAGGAGGTACAAACCACAGAGGAGTCCACATGAATGAATCATGCCTGGCAAAGGTGGCAATCTGGCAGCTTTGTAGGTGTGTTTGCAACTTGTTTTGTCAATTTACTGTGCAATATCTCTACTGTCACCCGAAGATTCCTCAGCGCTAATCCAGTCAGACAAGAAAAAAAGGAGGCTGGTGCCCACAGTACCGCAGTGTTTGCTTCTGGGAGAACTCAAAGCAAATGAGAGAACACGAGCAGAGCAAGATGGTAGCAGATAACTGGTTAGACTCTCACCTGCTGTGTCTTGGGCATCTCTGACTGCATTAATTTTGCTTATGGTAGAACCCAGGTTTCTAAAAATGGTGAGTACCATAACAAAGCTGCATTTTTCGAAATTGTTTGACAAAGATCAGTGTGGGAATTGAGGGAAACTGTGAAACTGTTCTGTTTGCAAMCTAAAATAAATTAATTACTTGGCTATATTTCTGTTGCACTTATTTTCATACTCCTATATTTGTGGAAATACCAAGTTGTCTTAATTATCCTCAGATCTTTTTGCCGGTAGTCTTCTCATTGGTCTCTAAGCAGTTTCATCATTTCTAAGAAAATCCACACTTTTCATATAGCTAATATTATTCTAAAGATTACATTTTCCTCATAAAACTTGCTATGTTTAAATTCACATTTTTTTTCCAAATGTGAATCATTTGGAAATTTAATTAATACCTCTCAAGTTTCAGTATAAGCTTTAAATTCTTAAATGGCCATATTAATGTAGAGAACTCTCTAAGGCTCCTACTGCAGAATTTTGACTTGCTATATAGCACATGATAAGAATTTAAGTCATCAAATTGCAATGTTTTTCAATTGTTAAACTGTTAGTGTTTAACCATTCAGCCATTCAAGCCATAAAAAAATCAATTAGCGTATGTAATAAATATTCTGTTTAAATAATAATGGAGTTAAATAAGACCCCTACAAGTCTACAAGTTTTCAGGGAAACTTATAGTTGTATAATTGAATATGACAAACCCAATGTGAAGGGGTTTATTTTTTTTTTGTACAGCACATACTTGTAACTTACATGCAGGATATTTTTTTCCCATAAAATAGGCAGAGACATGAGAAAATGCGCTTGAATGGAGGAAAGGATGATTTTTAGGGTCTTCCTACAGCACTTCAAATTTAAACCAACAGAATGATTTTGAATTTAAGGCTACCTCACAGTAGCCAGTTTATAAATAACCCTTTTAAAATAAATAATAATATGTTCACCTTTTACTATTTTAAGAAGAGCCTTTTTTCCCCTGAAGTCTTAACTCACCTAGCTGCTCATTCCCCTTTCTGCTCTACAGACCTTTGCCTTTCAGGGGGGCAATTGCCAAACCTGTGTTGGGTAGGAGGTACCA